TTTCTCTCTCTCTCTCTCTCTCTCTCTCTCTCTCCTTATATTATCTTTTAAAAAATGATTTTATGAACCTATCAGGCCGTGTTGGTGTAACAAGGCAGGATCAGAGCAACCCCCTACTAAAACATGTTCAACCTGGTTGTCTTTATAATGATACCCATTGGTTTCCACTTGTGTGTGACACAGGTCAGGTCGGAGACTGGAAGAACTGGTTGACCGAAGCTCAGGACGAGGCCCTTGATGACGTCGCCAAGGAAACGATGCCAGGCCTGTCCATCTACAAGCCACGATTTACTTTACCTTGATGAACTGTTCAGTAAACCCGATGACGACATCTATCTGTACTTGGTCGCTTTTGAGGACAAGCGAGCTGACCCAGATCTTGACCGACACCAAAAGTGGACTTTGCCCTACCTATAGAGGAAAAGTTTGGTTTCATTGGTGTGTATATTTGTCTGGTTATAGAGAAAACTCTCCTTGTGTTTTATAGAAACTGAACTAGGGGCAAAATTTGAAAAACTTCACCTTCGAGTTTCTCAAAAACAACTTTTTTTGGGATAGCCCCTTTGTGCTTAAAAGCGACCATTTATTTTTGCACGTAGGATAACATGTCATTTTTTCCAGGAGTGACGTAGCTTATGATGGACAAAGGGTAGGGGCAAAAATTTTACCCGGTCCTGAATAGGAAACGATAGAAATCTTCGTGTAATCCGGTGACGACACACGTGCAGTTTCTGTAACACTTGAATATAATACAAAGGCTTTGAACATCTAGTTCTCACCGGAAAAAAAACTGTAGGCAAACGATGCAGGGATGGATCCAAAGCAACCTACTTGAAAAGCCTAAACATAGGATGGGAGACCGGGAAATGTCGGGATAATAAAAGAAACATGCGATCTTACCTGAATAAATGTAGCTTGTTTCTGATTTGATCGAGTAAGTTATCAGGTGGTAAGTGAGAAGTGAAGATGAGAAGGCATGTGTTTCGTGTCGCTGGTCACACTATAGTTCACCATAGCCACATTCGCAATTTTGTCATTTTAAAGAATGGAATCATTTTGACATTGTCTCAAAGGAACGGGGAAGGGTGGATATCGCCTACTCAGCGTCTGATAAATCACTCGACAAAATCAGAAACAAGCCCCATTTACCCAGAACCTTTCGGGTATTTTGGTCCACATGGCATGAGCCCATGATAATGTCGATAGCGTCTTTTGAAAAGCCTTTGTCAGCGAATTATGCCCTGACGCCCTGCAGATGACCAGTATTGTTGTTTTGGTTAGTAGGTTTTTTCTTTGTGTGTGTGTGTGGGGGGGGGGGGGTGAGAGGATGTATTGTCTCTTGAGGACTCGGCAAGGTGAGAAATAGTTGAGGACAGCAGTACTGTGTGTGAGCATTTTTATGAGAAGTCGATAGAACGGTTGGGTTGGCCAAAGTGGAGCCACGATGACACCTACCTGTGGCTGCACCCTTCTTTATCTTCTGAAGGACCCTGGGTCAGTAGGGAACAATGGGGGAAAGGGGAAAAAATTATGTTCTCCACAGTACAAGGTAAAAGAATCCATCGTAAAAGCTCCAGGTCAGGTCTGCAAGAAGTATAATGTTCAAATTGATGATTAAGTCTTGTCACAAAAAGGTCAGTTTTAGGAGCAACTTTTATAATCGACAGTGGTGCTAAAGGCAATTTTCTGTCTATTCTCCGCTCAATGTCAACACTGACATGTCTGGTTTCATAATCAGCCTCCACATTTCCGGAGCATGCAATTCTGAATACACTAATCCTTTCATTTCTTTTAAGGCGCCATTCTCACACTGCTTTAGTCAATTTATTCAACTTACCAGATGTACAAGAACCCATTTTATTCAGACATCCCATGGTAACGGCTGAGTGTTCTCAGAGGGTCTGCAGGGGTAATAATAGTTGTAAAGCGCATAGAGCAAGCTCTTGTGCATGGATATGCGCTATATAAATGCAATTATTATTATTATTATTAACGGCTTGGACCATATTTCTACAATCTATAGCAAATAGCTTAATTCCCTAAAAAGGAGATATCATTTCCAGTTCGTTTTTGTGATTCTGACTGCGACTAAAGGTCCCCTGTCCTTTCTTCATTACAGACCGCCTTCTCCATGACCTTAGGGTTGCATCTGTTTTTGTCGCCAGTTAACAAATTGTGGGCCTGGTATGGATATAAGTCTCTGTGAATTAGCAATGTTCAGGTTCCACCAATCTGTCTCTATTAGAGCATCAATCGATAGTTCCATTTCTTAATCCCATTTCTTTTTCTCAAGTCTTTCCAAATTACATGGGCCACTGCAGGAAAATCTGCTGCTTTGGGGCCTATAAAGCGAACCTCATTTCTTATCTTGTTGAGGTGGTTGTTAGAAATAGAATAGCAACTCTCAGGGATGGTGTCAGTTCTTTTTTCAGTGAGCTTCACTGTCATTTTCTTTGTATTTATTACTGGCCCGGCGGACTGTTTGGTAGATGGAGCAAATTTTCTCTCGCAGATAGAAAGATTGGCTTCTTGACGAGAATTTACGTCAGGAGTGGGGGAAAAAAAAGGCTGCGTGATCCTGTTTGCTTTGTCCGTCTTCTCTTTTTGTATGACTCTGGATGCGAGAGAGAAAGGTGGAAAAACAATCTTAGACCCTTCCAGTTTATAGTAAAGGCATCCAGCAATAAAGCAGCGAGATTTGTTCAGTAAGATATATATTTGGGGAATTGTTGGTTTCGTTTAGCCGGAAGGTAGACTTTTAAAAAGATAAATGCGTGATTTGAAATGCACCACTGAAAGTTCAGATTTCATTAGGATGCGCTCGACACCCATTCACCGTCAATGTTCATTGCTCTACTTTCTTGGTCCGCATCTACATTATCTTTCACAGCTCTATTCTTACTGCTGGTAATCACAAAGGTGTTTTTTTCACACCATGCCCGGATTAGTTTTGATAAATTATTTAGTGAGAGTGATTTTGGAGATCTCATCTTGTTCAAACAAGCCGTGGTTATGATGTCCATAAAGAGTCTGGTGAGTACTGGTGACTGAGTTCTTTAGCCCTTTGGAAAAGGATCCGAAAGCTGAGAGAGTAGATTGGGAGGTAGGTGGGTGCTCTGGTGTGGTTTGCTTCTTCTTTCCCTATCAAACATCTGTCGTCCTTATCTCCCGTCCGTATTTTTTATGTTTGTTACTCTCTTGTAACACATCTAATCTTCTGGCGCTCATATGGCCTTATGCAGTTGCGAGGGCCGTAAAACCTCAACTATAATTTTTTTAAATTAAAAAATAAGAAAGCAGCAGCTAACAGTTCCCACTCTTTGATGATGTGCAATTTTTTCTCCTCTACTATTCACGCTCCTCGTGTTTTCTCACTTGCTCACACAGCACCACACAGCACCCCAGGCAAACAGACTTGCGTCACTGAAAATTACTAGAACTAGAATCTAGGTGGGGGCTAAGTCGAGAAATCCGGTAAACACCAGACAATCCGTGCTATAGTAGCACCATTCAGCTTCTTTCACGGTGTCGTTCTCGACAACTGCATCACACTATCCCCATCTCCTCTAGTTATCTGTATTGCCCGCACCGTTTCCCTTTCTCTGCAACGGTAGTGGGCGAGGACTAAAGGTACCGTGGGGAAACATGATACACGTTCCAGTAAGCCGATACGAGGGGCTACTTCCAATGAGGTTATAATAATAGAAGGTTCTATAAGTTATAAGTTTCTTGACCACTTAATTCTCGTACAGGATGAGTCGACCCTCGTAAAAATGCCCTACAGCCACTTTCTACATGTTCCCTCTTTTCTCGTGGGAGATAAACGGTCATTGTGACCTAGGCAGTCTCAAACCCTCAGCATATATTATTCTCTGAAGAGGGTTTGAATAATAATCTGTGTGGGTGAACCACAAAAACGAGCCCGGTCGGAAAACAGGGAAACTCGCACATTCTTTTCTTCTCACTCTCGACCTCGTTCTGGGTGTTTCCCGCAAGCACCGAATCAGCAATAGTGAATGAAAGTAGCGCTAGTGGTACCTAGAAAAACACGTCTGACTTTCGCTGGGGTAACCAGCGAACTGACCAGCGGCCTGTACCGCGGTTCTCAAGTTTCACCGTAGAGCCCGACGGCTGGCGAGATAAAATTTTAATTGGAAATAATCATCACCTTACCAAGGTTAGCCATACTTGTTCTCTCACTTGATGGTGTTTCCCACACTACAAAGATGGGGGAAAATGGGTTTGGTAAGTTTTGTGAAGTTGCGGGCGCTTCAGTTTGTCTCTCCATTTAAAGAATTTCTGATGTTCTTCAGCAATGGGGAGGGACACTGTAGTAAACAGTAACAGAATCAGCGCCGGCCATAAAACAGCCTGGACTAAGTAGGGTGAGTGCAGACTTCAGAGTTTCCATTTTGAAATTCTTGTAAACAAAGCTTTTGTTCAGGGGTATTTTTCTCCCAAAAACAGAATCATCTAGAAGGTATTATCTTGTTTATGTCTTGTAACGATACCAGAGAAAGCCTCACCTAGTTCACCTCTATAATAACTCTTTTGCGTAAAAGACTTGATATTTCATTTGTCAATAGCTGCCATTTTCTCTTGGCAGAAGGAAATGCTATTATTCATCATCTTTGCCTTTCTCACCCTGGATCAGGATATAGGCCACGAACAAACACTTTCCACCTTTCCATATCCTGATCTAGTCGCTTGATGTCACTCCATGTCTTCTTGCTTCATACATTGTACGAACATTCCACGACTCAATCCGGGACAACAGCTCCGTAAATATCTTACAGAGGTTTTGGGTCATAAGAGTCCTTTCGGCTTTGTCCACTGTCCTTCATTGTTCCTGCAGTATACAGAATCTCCTCCGTCTCCCAAGAAGGAAAAATTATAAGGCTAGACCAACACCAAGTTCTTGTTCAGAAAGAGAAGTGGAAATTGAAATGTTGAGACAAATGATTATTTTTAACCCATCCACTGTTGATAGCTACCTTCTGTGGTGCTGTAATTAGAAGCCCCTTGAGAAGCGGAACGACGAGGATTTCCATAATAACCCATTGCTTCATCCTCCTGGCGTCTCTGGTATCTAAGAAGAATACCTTAGACCTCCAAACGGAATTATAATTTCTCTATATTAGTTAAGCCTCAGTAATATAATTATACTGGCCTTCAGATTGCATCTCATGAGCAATAGCTTCCAACATCTTTTGAATGTGGTCTCGATTGTGATGAAGCCGATCCCTCTTGCTGTAAATAGAAGGTCAGTTTTGTACACAAATAATCAGAGTTTCATCGTCCA